TTGTTTTCGAATTTACATACAATGCGGAAAGTAGATGTCTAAAGACAGGCGGTAAACCTGATCTCATTCGTTAGATGTCCATAATATTATCATATACAAAACTGTTGGGAAGGGGTTAATACAAATAACTCATTCCTACATCCTATAATACAATAATAAAAATCACTAGTTAAACTAACTATAGGTAGAAGTAAATATCTCTATTATAAAGAAAAACTGGACACGGGCCGAGAAATTATCCTATCTTACAAGTTCCAGGATGTCAAATCTGATAATAAATATCTATAGAAACACAGAAACAACTGACAATAAGAAAGGTTTTCTGTGTATCCTATTTTGGCAATTTCTACTGATGAGAAAAATTCAAAACATAATTATATTAAAAAAGTTTCCTTACTTTGCTTTTTACAAAGTTTACTTATAAACCTGAAATTTATTACATTAACTTTCTAACACTACATTCAAAAAGTCCTATTAGTTTTATTTTGTTAAAGTTTAAGACTGAAAACTCCAATGATGAACACTATAATATTTTTAAAATTAAAAATTGACAAAACAAACATCATTACTAATACTATGAGTATTTAAATATAAGCGGTAAAATTTTTCGTCATTTGAGGGTGTCACGATTAATAAAGGTTTTATAAATTATATTATCGTTAAAAAATTATGAATCTTTTACAATCTACTTTAGTACTAGTTGTAACTTGTAAGTTGTAGTAGTACTAGTACCTTCAATGTTTGTAAATTAATTGTACGTTAAGTCTAGTCTATACTGCTTCTAAACTTTATAAAATGTTATAAATCTTTAAATATTAACAAATTTAAAACATTACTTAAATTTTATAAAGCTAATTTTCGAAGGCTTCATCCTAGTAATTTCACAAATTTCAGAAAACTGATTCATTACTAATTACTGAATAACTTATTTTTAATATTCATTACTACATTAAATCATCAAATTAAAACTACCTTTAAAATACATATTTTAAAACTTTCATAAAAATACTGCAGCCACACAGTCAGCGACACAAGGCCTAAGAAGACACGAATGAACGGCTAGCTTATTTTCCAACGTAGGGGTACTTACAACAAAACAAGCTGTGGAAGCTTTCACTAGTATTACCTTTAAGAAAACACGTTATTCTCGACACCGATGAACGGCATACATTTCCCCTTTATACGACACTTCCCTCTTTAACAGTCAAGTCTCGTAAATCCTGCAGATTTCCTCCTTTCAAGAGTCTCTTAGAAACATGTACAGCTTCATAACTATCACACTAGCTGTTAACACAACTAGCAGTTCTCCGTTACAAGACAACAAAGCGTCGAACTAGAGGGGTGGAGCTTGTGTCTTATAACACACTAAAAATTGAAGCCAGGGTGATTAAAAATAGATGAAAGTCTTCTAAAGTTCTTGTTATTCAAAAACAAAATAATTGTTTTATCTTACTAACACGTAATAATATAAACAGTACCAAAACAGTACATCGAACAAAAAAACTTAACAAAGTGATTGAAGAGCGTAACTTATATATAAAAAAGGTACCCAAGTTTGTGACGTACTGACATACGTTTCGACATGGCGCCATCTACTAACATAAAAAACAATCACTGGAATGGTGATTTATGATAACATTGCGATTTTTCGTCCAACATTAGAGATTATTATTCTAACTATAGAGATGATCAATTATCTTATGATTATTATGCACTATTAAATTTTACATTGTTAAAGTTTAAAATGTTTGACTGTTTATATTTAACCCTGATGCATTGACGCCCGAAGGAAAGGGCAAAAGTGAGCATTTGATCTCCTCTTAGATTGCACGTATTATGATGTAAACTTAGTTAAACTAAATATTTTTAGTAATTTTTATTAAAATTGTAAATTTGTGTTTGCGTTTAACCACACTTAACACATATTATTTTGGTTTGTTGACTTACAATGTAAAAGCTGATCCCCAACATACATGTTTTAGCTCCCCTCTTCCCGCAAATATTTCTGTGAGGGCCCATGCCCTGACTGGGTGCATTACTAGGTTTGTTAAAATTTTCTTGAAATTTGTTTTTTATTTTGAAGAAAATGTTTACAGAAACTTTAATAATAAGAATTAAATGTATCTTTAACTGGCAAACTATTCGTTCTTGGTTCGGAATCAAACCTTGGAAGTTAACTATGCAGCAGTACTATGAATATAGTGTAATGTACACGTTCAAACAGCAGTAGTACGAATACAGAAGTGTACACGTTCAAACACAGTTTAACACACGTTTTAAAAAACCACACTTAGGATCAATACAGTTTAACATACGTTTTGTTAAACCAAACTTAGGATCAATACAGTTTAACATACGTTTTGTTAAACTACACTTAAGATCAACACAGTTTAAACATTTTTGTTTTATTAAACCACAGTTAGGATCAACACAGTTTAACATTTGTTTTATTAAACCACAGTTAGGATCAACACAGTTTACTATTTGTTTTGTTAAACCT